AATACAAGCGTGTACATTATTATCGATCGAGAGAGTATAATTCGTCGCCTTGGTAATTTTTTAATTTTTTTTTACTGAGTTTATTAATTACCACGCGAATGAATTAATTAATTTAATAGAGAATTTTAATTTATTTTCTTTTCCTTTTTTTTTCTTTTTTTTTTTAAATTGTAATGAAAATTTAGTTTTCAAGCGCGTGTAGCGGTTCTTGTCGGCAATGGAACGTGGAATTATTTTTATTTCGAGGATCCATTTGTTAACAATGCGAGTACACAAGAGAAAGCAGTGGTATGCGCGCACATATGAATGTGTATTAGGCTGGTGTATGCGAACGTCGTTTTCTCAAACGAGACTTTAATTATACACACACACACACTATTTCCTTTATTATTCTACTCACTTTTTCTTCTATTATTCCTTTTCAAGTGCGAATTCATCGGTTAAAAAATTAATCCAAATGGATTAATGCAGAATATATTTTCATTCTCTGTGATCAAATTTATATAAAGAAGCTTGTTTATGCGTTAAATTGTGATAAAACGACAAATTGAAATATCGTGTGCAAATAAATTCTTCGTACGTTAAAAAATAGGAATGCAATCGAATCGCTTTAACATATTTACGTAATGTATACAAAATGATGTATCGAATTCGTCTCCATTGTAAAAATATTTGCGTACATTACATACACAAGATTTCTTTTTAACAATAAAACTGAGGATATGTATTTTAACCTCGATTATTCCAACGATATTTATTCTTGTATTGAACGTGACAATGCGACAGTGAAACATATCTGCAACCCGAATAACATAGATAAACAAACGAATAAATTGGAAATAAATATATTCGTATCGAGGAGAGTAAAAAAAAAAAAGAAAAAAAATAAACGTTTCCCTTCATCTTCTCGGCGTGTATTAAATACGTTTAACGTTATATTAATCAATCGATAATCGATATAATGTTAATCAATATATAATTGCATTGTATCTCTTTATGAATACCGTAAGAATTAGTAATTGTAGATAGTATCGTTCTGCTAATTAACACTTTGTCGTGTTATCTCAATATTTATAGTGTCTGTTTGCTCTTTCAATAATCTCTGTCTCAAAATCATCGTTGCTAATTTTTTTCTATCTACGCGCACATGCATGTTAACATATATATATATATGTATATATTTTTCATCCTCAAATACTACTTCCTCTAAATTTCACAGACGTACAATATTGCAATACTTCATCCAAGAGGCAATTTTTTTATCCTTTATTTTTATTTTCCTTCCCTCTTCAAAAATCAAGAGAATCTTTAGAAGTATCATCATTCATAAAATCGTGTGAAAGGAACGAAACCTGGCTTTGAAACCTGTGTACGGCGTTTATTTACGCATCGACGATTCTGTACCGTTGGTTCCACGGTTCAGCTGCAACCGGGAAGACGTAATTACACGAGGAGGAGAACGAGAAGGAGAACGAGGAGGAGGCGAAGAGGGGAGCGAGGGGGAGAGAGAGAGAGAGAGAGAGAGAGAGAGAGAGAGAGACGTGTACGTATAGAAGAATACACGAAGAAGAAACTCCTTCTATAGTTTATTGCGCATGGCGCGGTTCAAATATCACAACAAGGTTTCGAAGAATTTTCACGTGTAAACTCGGCTTAATGTTGCGAATTCAATCGAGTGCGATGACCCTTTGAATTCACTTAATTGCAATTCCTCGGACGAGGAATCAACTCGGTGGAGAATTTACAAGAATAACACGATAAAATTTCCAACGTGGAAAACCGATACCATTACAAGTGTACAGTTAAAACGTGAAAGTAGGAAAACAAACAAGAATTTGCCCGTTGTCCTGTTCTGTAAAGAGAAAGAAAAGGAATTAATCAAGAACAACAGGTGTCGTTTCGACGTTGAATTATAGCCAGTGAAAGTGTATATGTAATATTATATTAGATATTAACAAGGGGAATAAAACGTGCAGTTAAAACACAGGAGAAACTCTTTTTTCGAAAAAAAGTTGTAGAATTAATTATTCATGAAATCGCACATTGCATCCACCCACCACGTTACGTAGGTCGTACATGCACGAAGATAACGAACCGAGATAAAATTGTTTTACGTCCGTTCGTTATCCTACGAACCTTTTTATACGACAACGATTGACACATTTTTCTCTCTCTCAATCGAGATCTCGAAATCGAGGAGAGAAATGGAAACTGGAAGGGAAAAAAATTCATCGCTGAAACCCGATAAACCAGTATATAACGCGTGGTAAATAAGTAATGGTAGTGTTTTCGAAATTATTCCGGGAGTTTGTTCCACTGGATATCCACTGGAATATGGTAGGGGGATACCGATTATGAGAACGCTTAAAGGAGAACGCACGGCTTCGTTAAATGAATTCTGCGAAGTTAGCAGACTAGTCCAGTAGCGAACCGGCCTCGTCCAAGCCGGAGTGAGTCACGATCATGACAAAATCGTCCCGCTGTCGTGTGATTACTCAGCTTATCTGTATATACAAGTGAATTAAAAAAAAAAGTGAAGCGCGCTCGATCGGTAGTAGTAGCGATGCGAGCAAGCTGAATGACACTCGGCCGAATTATAATTCGTTTCTTGGCTGAGAGAAGAACCAAGTCGTGCGAACTCGTCGCTGTGCGCGCATGTGCGAGAACGACAAGGAGGAGAACTACACGAGGGAAGAGAGAAAGGTGAAAGATATGGAAGTGGAAAGTTAGTATCGAGTTGTATTATACCTTTGTTATTTTGTCGCCGTGAAAGTTTCAATTTTCGCTCGATTCTATTACCTCTTCTTCTTTGTATTTGCAAAAGTATGGACGAGTTGGATACGTTTGTTTGTATTGAAAAATTGAATTGTATCAGGCGAATGAAAGGAGTTGGATGGAAATTTTTTTGAATCGAATACGCGTATATACATCGCGTTTAGAAACTTCAAATGTTGTTTGCCCATAATCATCTTATTTGAGATATATGTGTTTACGAAATGAATGAATGATTTACGTCGATGATATATACATTGATAATCGGAGCCCCAACGAACGCCAATTATGATGTAACGTAATTAGAACGTAGTGTATTCTATACGAACACGAACTCCTATTAATTGCACGAAAAATCCATTGTTGTAATGGGAATTGGACTGATTGCTATTATTATATAAACATAACGTATCCCTCCCCTCTTCCTTCTCCTCTCACACAGATGAAGTTCCGTTTAATACGAGCGATGATAAATAAACGTATTTACAATGTATAAATTCTAGAAATTTGTCGTTTAGGAACCACGTTGACCGAATGGGATAAACTTCCTTCCATCAAAGTCGGTGACTTCACCCTCGAGGTCGAATTCGGTCCGCCCAGCAAGGAGTTGCAGGATGTAGCGAAGAGCGAGCTTCGAGAGACGCCTGAACTTCAGAACGAGGCGATCGCCCGACTCAGGGAATTGCTGAAAGGTTAAAAAAAAAAAAAGTAATAATCGAAAATAAATAATGGGAAAACCACTATTTTCTAATTTTCTCCTCTGATTCTGACAGCCGAGACAGATCTGAAATGCCCCCTGGAGAACGACGCGTGGCTGATCCGGTTTCTCAGGCCGTGCAAGTATTACCCGGAATCGGCGTTGAATCTAGTGAAAAATTATTACAACTTCAAGGTGAAGCACTCGAACGTGTACGACAATCTGAAACCGAGCAAAGAGAAGAACATATTCGAGCAAAACATTCTGTCCGTGTTGCCGAATCGGGATCAAAACGGGCGGAGGATACTGGTGATAGAGCTCGGGAAGAAGTGGAAGCACAACAAGTGCAACCTGGACGAGGTGTTCAAGGGCTGCGTCCTCTACGTGGAGGCGGCCATGCTCGAGCCGGCCACGCAGATCGCGGGCGCGATAGTCGTTTTCGACATGGACGGGCTCACTCTTCAACAGGCCTGGCAATTCACCCCCGCGTTCGCCAAAAGGATAGTGGACTGGTTGCAGGACGCGGTCCCGCTGAGAATAAAGAATATACACATCGTCAATCAGCCGTACGTGTTTAACATGGTGTTCGCGCTGTTCAAACCGTTCCTCAGGGACAAATTGAAGAACAGGGTAGGCCTTCATCACTCGTCCAACATTTTCTGGGAGAAAAAAAAAAGAAAGGAGAATTAATTAAGTAGAAGGTTTTAATGATATTGGCTTCTTTATATACTTGCAGCTGATTTTCCATGGAACAGACAGGAAATCATTGCACCAATACATCTCGCCCAAGTGTCTGCCAGCCTGCTACGGTGGAAACTTGCAACTTCCTCGTATAACGGGGCCGCAATGGTTGGAATTGTTATTGTTATGCGACAAAGAATACGATGGTACGTAATGAAATGAACGTAATATAACGACAATCCTCTCGAATACCTCTTCCAGTTTCCGGAATGAAAGCACCGTTGCTGGAAATTGGACGAACATGTTATTTTACATTCTGTATTGCTTTTCTGTATTAATTGATATCCTCTTCTTCTTTTTTTTTTTTGTTTTTCTTTTTCAGCGATCAATTCGTACGGTTACAAGAAATAGAAACACATCCCCGCATTTCGAGGATGCGCTTTCACGAGGATGTGAAAAAGAGGGATGATCTGAAGATGATGAATTTTTTTTTTCTTTTCTTTTCTTTTATTTTTTTTTTTTTTGTGAAACTTTGTCGGCTGTGGATTTTCTCGTTTAACACGCTGATCTGGATTCAGCGCATGGCCTACTTAGTTATCTCTATTATAAGCGGTTATTATCTGCTATACAAGCGTTGCTGGTTTGACCTTTTTTGCAATATTATTCCAATTTAAATTATAATACGATGAATTAAATTAAACAAATAAACAGTGGTTACGAGGAGAATGGGAAAAGAAGTACAAACTTTTCCAATTTGTCGTATTGTCCATATTACTCGAGTTAGAATTAGAATTAGAATTGTTTTATCATAGGGAGAGTGAGTGAGTGAATGAGCGAGAGAGAGAGAGAGAGAAGCGAATTCTTCCAAGGGATTTTATTATATAAAATTATATAAAATTATATTTTATAGATTAGGATAATTTTGTACGAAATAATTTTATTATTTATAATATTATTTTTATATTATACTTTAATGTTACTTTTAATTGTTTTTTTTTTTTTTTTTTTTTTTCTTTTTCTAAACTTCTCTGTTAATGATGATGAAATCGTTTCGAATTTATCGTTATATCAATTAACTTGATAATTTAACGTGAAACCTTTCCCAAAAAAGGTTTCAAAAGTTATTACCAGCTGATATATTTAATAAATTTGTTGTTGATTAATTTATTGTATCAGGACAAAGAGGTTTATCTGAAGGGTATACGCTTATGAAATATGTACTTAATTAAGAAAACCTGTTATGTACGTACGAATATCCTTAATTATATAATACGATAATTGTTTCACTTCTTCTTCTTCTTCTTCTTATTATTATTATTATTTGTTTCTTTCTTTGAAGTAAAACACTTTTATTCCAACTGTTTTTAGTCAAAATATTTCCCCACAAACGTTCCTCTATATATATAATCGATCGACCAATCATGTAACAAACAATTATCGCAATCACACGATGCGACGTTATTATGTATAATTTCGCGGATCAAGCATAATTTTTTTTTTTCTTTTATCGAAACCGATTAAAAATATCGAACGATTATCGCTCAAAGTCGATTGAAAATTTTATTTATTATATCGGTAACAAAAAGAAAAACAAATACAAACTTTAGTATGCCTTTATCATTTTTCGTTGCTTACTTTTATTTTTCAGAATAAAAAAAAAAAAAATTACCCACACGCAAGAAAGAATAAAGATCCGTTGCGGCAATAACGATTTGGATCTCTCGACCATAATCGTTTGATAACTCAAGTAATGATTTATATCGAATTCTTATCATCGGTTTACCCATCCACCCTTGTTGTTGTTGTCTCGACCCGATTGAGATCCATCGGAGACAACGTTACCTTGAATCTCGTTACCTCGTCATTTTCAAATCACAAATTCACAACGATCCTGCTCCTCATGATTTTGCATTCACAGCATATCCAAATTTGTTGAGCTCTGTAAAGAAAGAAAGAAATAAATATCATATCCTATGCTTATTGAATAGGATATCGATCCAATTATTAATCGCACGGATAAATTGTTCTTTCCAGTTTCCTATTATCAGGCCGAAATGGAGGCTATCTTATCCGTTTATGCGAGAAAAAAATTTGAAACAGATAATTTTATCTTAATTGGAAAAATATTGTCTATGAAATTATATATATATCATCCTTCCTGAAGAAAATACAATAAACTTTTTTTTAACATCTAATCATTCTTATAATTTCTACTACTTTTGTAAAGAAGCAATATAATAATTTTCAAGAATAAAAATTTTCAAATAGTATTTGTTATTGACCGAAGAGTCGGTAATTGCAAAAATTATAACATACTTAAGAATATATTCAACCAATATTTAACTAACCACGAAGCGTAATTAAATTTTTTATGCGACAAACAATTTTATATATCCTGGAGTTGTACGAAGAAAATTATACGATTCATTATTGCGCAACCAAGTTTACTCGGCAATAATACACGTTGTAATGTAACACATACGTCCATACGTAATTGCACGTGCTACGAATATCCACAAAAATAGGATGTTACCCAAGGTTAATACCGTCAGTGAACCGATTCGACTTATGTGTCGACATTTTTAAATTTCGAAGGATTATCATATCGAACATTGGAGAATTATGGACAATGTGAAAATAATTATTATCGGATGGACGAGTAAATAATAATTAAAATCATAGTTGACAATTAATCGTAGAGAAAAATATAAAAAATATATTTAATCGGGTTGGAAAAATTCATATCATCGAAGATTTATATGCTACTCGAGGAGAATCGATTCACAAGTATTATTCGATCGATAAATAATTCTTTTTCGATAAATATTCTTTTCTTAATCGATTTACCGTGTTTTTACCTTGATTTTACCTTGAATCTCGTTTATTACTGCTATCGCTTATGTGCGTTTCATCAATATTTAATTTTATTTCAATAACATAACAAAAAAGTAAAATAAAAGACAAGTGTGGATTACCTTCGAATATTTTCTCGAATTTGTGCAGATATTCGTAAATGTCTTGGCCAATCGGTTTGTTCGGCATCTCGAGTTCACCGCCAAACTCGATAGGTAAATTTTTCACTCCGACGAAAGAGATCAATGCCTCCCTGTCTGTGCCGTGAAAGTGAAGCCTCTTACGTGTCTTCTCCTGTAAAACGTCGACTTCGATTAAATCAAACGCAATTTTCAAACGCAAAACAAAAATATTAAATATATTCGCAAATCATCGCGAAACATTATGCATGCATTTTCAGTCCATCCTCAATTTATATTCGCACATTAATTATCCATAGTCAAGGACAGATCAAATTATTCCTTTCAACAAGAACGCAGTTCTTTCTTTCTGTTTTTTTTTTTTTCCATAATTTATTATCGATCAATCAACAATCAAGATTTTTTTTTTTTACTTCATTTAAAGAAGAAAGAAGTAAGTGTACGCATTGAACTTTACGAAATTGGTAAAATTGAAATGGAAAAAAAGATACCAGAAGAAAAGGTTTGAAAATTGCGTAGACCATCTTGAATATGAAGGGTTGATTCACTATGTGTATACCCTTTATTCGACATGGCAAAGATCTCTGTATCCATTCGGTCATCGCTGCTGCGAAACTCGGAGTGATGTGCGTAGCATGGCTCAATGAAAACCCGGCCATATTTATAATCGCGTGGATTCCGCAAATCTGGAAATCAGATCAAATAAAAGGGGCAAATAAAAGGTGGGGAGAAGAGAGAAATTTTTCTTTTTTTCATTCTCTCGTTGATTACGAATTGGAGAATTTTTTTTTTCGAGTTGAACGAAATTATACTTTCTTAACGACACCAAATTACGTAGTCGTACAAGGACAGCGCCGCACGAATTTATTACGCAATTCCTCCTAGAATATTCAACGATATTTCGAACAAGTCTCTACGTTTCAGTTCTACTCATGTTTTGATAAAAATTCCAGAGATTGAAAATTGAAAGAGAAGAAACCTTTACCTGCGTCTTCGCCTCGATCGCAGTCGCCTCCATCAACAATATTGTCGCTCGAAATATTTCATCGCCGGTGATTATTTTCGGATTCCATTGTTTTCCAGTGTTAAATAAAATTACTCTGCAACCGTCTGCCGTTCTCTCTGGTAACGGGATCGCGATCTCTGAGATTAGCACTTTTTGCTCGTTGGTTGGTAAGAGATCGAGGCAGAAGCGAGGATTGTTCAATTTGAATTTGTAATACCTTTTCAACTGTGAAATCAACATTTCGCGTGTTACGTTTGTATCCGAGTTTTCTGGCCGATCTGGCTGATAATTTTAATACAATCGATGGAATACAATTTGCTCACCAATTCGAAACTGCTCTTTGGATACCATTTGCAAGGACGCAGGAATTTCTTGCAAAATTCATCGTCGTCCGGGACAACGAGATTGGATTCGGCTGAAAAAGAGAGCAACGCATTATTTCCGAAGAATTATCAGATTATAATGGATCGTGATTATTTGTGTATGAAAAGAATATTTTAAGAGATTTTTTTATTCTTTGAAAGAAAAGAAACGGAGGAAGGGCAAGATCGAGGGCGAGAAGAAGAAAACGATTATTCGTCAATTATATTCTCTGGATATAATAAACCTTGACTTTCGTTTTAAGCTCTTAAACGTTCTTTGGAGAAGGAACGTTAACTCGAGATAAAGTGAAATTTTCGCATGACCGGTTTTCAACATGTATCAAAGTACACTGTGGCAAACACAGATTCGTTTACGACACGTTCCTTCCTTCGATACACGTTCTAATTTAAATTATAATTTTCACTGGAAAAGATAATTTTCATACAAAACCTTTACATTCGATCTTGGATATTTTTTTATTGAGAATTTACAAAGTTCGCGATAAATTCGATAATATATTTATCGCGATCGATCATAATAATAATAATTTTAATCATTTTTGCAAAAAGATAAGAGGCTTTTGTTATACGCCAAACGAATACAAATTTCAATTGGAAAGCTTTCAACGATATCATATCCGATTGTTCCTTTTTTACAAAAAATTGCAGACCAATTCTTCGATACGTTTTTCCATTTTCAATCTAATTTGAAACGTCACACGAACATGAAGTGCAAAGCAAGCAAAACAAAAGTTGTCTACGTTTGCCATGTTTGCTGTCGGTATCTCGGAAGAGAAAGCTTCTCTCGCATTTCGATGTCCCAAAAAATATTTCCTCCTCTCTATTATTCCAGTCATCTCTGTCTATGTTACACAACGACGAGGACGGGGCGAGAAAAATTCTAGAAAAAGTTATTTCCTTCCTTTCTTTCTGAATCGTTCAAAACACGATTGATAGCCACAGTCATAATTTATTAATCATTCATCATTAATAATTAATTCTCGACCTATCCGATAGTTTAACTTCCATTCCATGTTAAAATCTATTACGACTTTCCCAACATATTATGCAAAATGATTTATTGGAACTTGCAGCTTGCATACTAATCGATCAGATCCAAAAAGGATCCGCTAAGCCTTTTCAAACCAGATCGAACGTTCATCGATATACATATATATATGTATATCAATCACACTGCAGTATCGAGTGAACGATCGAGACGGCAATGGAATAGAGCCGCCATTTTCTTATCCCTTTTTATTCTTTTACCTTTAATCATCGCCCTGAAGTCCTTCAAAGATTGCTCCACGATCTCGGGTGTCTCGCGCAGCTCGTTCCTCGCCTTCTCCCTCGAAAACTCGTCCTCCTCGAGCTCTGCCATCAGAACGAAATTACCTATTTTTAAATAAGGCACATCCTCCTTCATCCATCTCGATTGCACGCGTTTCGCATCCTGTCCTCCTTCTCGCTCCATCTCGTGATATACTTATACTTCCCTCGGTAAAACAGGTTTTATCTGTGGAGCATAACAAGGTAAAGAAGTTAAGAGTTTATTGTCGTCGCTATGAGAAAAACTGTATCTTCCTTCCTTCCTTCTTTCGCTCGATAATCCGTAATCTCTTCTCTCTCAGAAGATATTTATTATTATTAGTTTGTACGATTCTTGTGTGCCTCGATAATGAGTCGCGTTTTTCTTTTTAAAATGTTTGTCGATACACGTTAAGAGAGGTGATGAGCTCAGTGTCGATGTAACGGAGATTCGATACGAACATCGTTTCCAATTCGATCCTCGGATTTTCGTGCCGATAGGATGTTGTTTCAAGTGTTGCTGCACGTCGGATTCGTCGCGGCGAGTTTCAGCTCTTTTTCCTTCTTTTTTTCGGATCGGTGAAAAGTAGTAGGGCAAATATAAATATTTACAAAAAAGTTCGAGTCTCTTACGAAACTTTGTTTTGTTACTATTTTTATCGGCCGTTATCTAATCCTAAAATTCTAACTCATCGTTTCCGTGTGAATTAAACTTGAAATGATCTTAAGGGATATTTAAAGCTTCGCAGCAACTTTGCTACTGAAATGATTTTCGACACCGATTCACTTCTCGACGAGATTCGCACCGTCACCGTTCCTCCCCCCTCCTGCGATAAAAATATTATCGCAATGTTTGCGCTCTTCCTCTCTCAATAAAAAATGAAGTTCAATTATTTTATATATATATATATATATATATATACACGTGCTCGTGTGCACGTTGTGTACACCGATTCATCGACAGATAAGATAATTAAACATTCAGGATGGTGCAGTAACTGATAATAATATTTTGTCGCGTAATATATTTCTCTCTCTCTCTC